GGTATGCGCGAGCTACATGCAGCTCGTCCCTTATCGGATCTCATTCTCAGACGAAGGCATTAAGGGCCTGTACACCCCGCACAATAACGCCCTGGTCGTCAAGGCTAAGATCGACCAAGTAACGATCAGGCAGATTTTGATCGACGGAGGTGCCTCCACTAACATATTATCATTCTCTACTTACCTTGCTCTGGAATAGGAGTGAGGCCAACTCAGGCCGGCCCCATCTCGCTGGTCGGTTCTGCAGGAGAACTAGTCCGACCTAAGGGGTGCACCAGCCTTCCGATAACCCTAGGAGAAGGAGACCATCAAATCTCAAGGATGACAGAATTTTTGGTTGTTGAAGCCAAGTCAACGTATAATGCCATATTTGGTTGACTTGTCACCCACGACTTACAAGTCGTGCGGTCCACACTACACCAAGCGATGAGGTAACCAACTCCAAAGGGAGTGGGGACAATAAGGGGCGAGCAGAAGACCTCGAGGGAATGCTACGTGGTAGCTTCTCAAGCCCACCTGCTACGCCATCAGTGGGGGCCCCGAGCTCTAGGTAGACAAGTCACTTGACAAGCAGAGCTGTGGGGAGCCTACAGAAGACTTGAAGCTCGTCCCGTTACTTGGCCCATAGAAGTGCACAAGCATCGGCAAGAAGCTGGGGGCCACCGAGAAGGAAGAGCTCATCCAGTTCCTCAAAAGCAACGCTAACGTGTTCGTTTGGTCACACGAGGACATGCCTGGAATCAATCCCGGCATCATGGTACACCATTTAAATGTAAACCCCTCTGCACGACCTGTAAAACAAAAGAGACGACCTGTAAACTTTGAAAGAATTGCAGCTATTGTAGGAGAAGTCCAAAAACTTTTGAAAGCTGAATATATCAAGGAAGTTAATTACCCTGCGTGGCTCTCAAATGTAGTGTTAGTCAAAAAACCAAATGGAAAATGGAAGATGTTCGTAGACTTCGCTAACTTAAACACGGCGTTTCCAAAAGATAGTTTTTCCCTCTCTCTAAGATCGATCAGCTGATCAATACGACGGTAGGGAATGAGCTCCTCAGCTTCATGGACGCCTACTCATACTATAATTAAATTAATATACACATCCTTGACCAATAGCACACCTCATTCATCACTGAACATGGGCTCTACTACTACAAAGTGATGCCTTTCAAACTAAAAAACGCTGGAACGACTTACCAGCACATGGTCAAGAAAATGTTTACAGACTAGATAGGTCGGAACATGGAGGTGTATGTAGATGACATGCTCGTAAAGAGTAAGAAGACGACCTCTCGTGTCACCGACTTGATAGAGATGTTCGAAGTCCTCCGAAAGTACCAGATGAAGATCAACCCAGAAAAGTGTGTGTTTGGAGTCTCGTTTGGCAAATTCTTAGGGTTTATGGTCAACCAGAGGGGAATAGAAGCGAATCCCGAGAAAATCCAAGCTGTATTAGATATGCAGCCACCTTAGAACTTAAAGCAGCTTTAGTGCCTCAACGAGAACCGCACTGAATCGATTTGTATCACAATCTACGGACAAGTGTTTGCGTTTCTTCAAGGTGCTACGGAAGAAAGATCGCTTTGAATGAACCCAGACTGTCAAGAGGCATTTAACGAACTCAATAGCTACTTGAGCTTGGCACCACTGCTATTAAAACCATTGCCTAGTGAAGAGCTCACACTGTACCTAGTAGTGTCCGCAAATGCAGTAAGCTCAACGTTGGTGAGGCAAGATGATGGTCAGCAGAGCCTGGTGTACTACATGAGCAAGTCCATGACGAACGTTGAGACTCGTTATCTGCAGGTGGAGAAGTTAGCGTTGGCACTAACTGTGGCCGTGCGACGTCTTCGACCTTACTTCCAAGCTCATAGGGTGAAGGTCCTCACTAACTTCCCCCTAAAACAGGTCTTCCAGAAGCCCGAAATCTCGGGGAGACTCATGAAATGGGCTCTCGAGCTAAGTGAGTACGACATAAGGTTCGAGCGAGGAGCTGCATTGAAGGGTCAAGCCGTGGCCGACTTCATAGCTAAGCTCACTCTACTACCAGCTCGGGGGAAGAGAGTTCGAGCAGGTGGGTCCTCAATGTCGATGGCTCCTCGAATGGGGCCAGAGTCCTTCTTTAGGCACCCAGTGGAGATCGGTTTGAGTATGCAGTAAGATTCAACTTCCTTGCCTCCAACAATGAGGCCAAGTATGAAGCACTGGTAGAAGGCCTAAGTGTGGCTAAAGGCATGGGAGCCACGTACTTAGACATAAGGAGCAACTCGCAGCTTGTAGTTAACTAGATTACCGAATAGTACCAAGCCGAAGACAACAGGATGTAGAGATACGTTGCCAAAGGTGCACGGGCTGTTTGTCTCAAGTTCAGGGGTACACCATAGAACGAGTACCGAGTGCAGAAAATGCTAATGTGGACACCTTGGCAAAGCTGGCATCCTCTTATCCAATCGAGTAGCCCAGGTCTGTCCTAGTCGAATTTTGGGGGCTCCCTCTGTTCACAAGACAGAGGCAATGAATATCCAAACTGTGATACTGACCTGGATGGACCATATAAAAGCCTTCCTCCGAGAGAAACTCTCAGAACAGGTCGATCTCAAGATGATGCGGTGTAAGACGGTGGGGTACGTTCTTCGAGGTGATGTGCTATACAAGAGGGGGTTCTCCCTTCTGTTGTTGAGGTGTCTGGACCTAGAAGAGGCGAATTACGCCTTGAGAGAGATCCAAGAAAGGGTTTGCGGTAACCATGCAGGGGGCCAATCTCTTGTCACTAAGCTGATTAAGCAGGGTTATTATTGGCCCACCATGGGACGAGATGCAATGGAGTTCGCACGACGATGTGATCGATGCCAACGGTTTGCTACAGCTATGCACCAGCCGCTCAAGCTCCTTACGCTAATCTCAGCCCCTGGCCATTCACTCAATGGGGGATTGACCTCATTGGACCTCTCCCGCAGGGAAAGGCCAAACAAGATTTGCAGTAGTGGTCGTGGATTACTTCACTAAATGGGTGGAGGCCGAGTCGTTAGCCACTATAACCGAGGCCAAAATCACGAACTTCGTGTGGACTAGTCTCATTTTCAGGTTTGGCATACCCCACGCCATTATAACTGACAATGAAAAGCAGTTCGAGAACCCCAAGTTCAACAAGTTTTGTGAACAGCTCGGGATAAAGCATTTTAGCTCCTTACCAGCTCATCCGCAGGCCAATGGCCAGGTTGAAGCTATCAACAAGATCCTTAAGGGTGGTCTGAAGTTAAGGCTGGAGGACCGCAAAGGCCGATGGGTTGAGGAGTTGCCCGACGTGTTGTGGTCGTATAGGACGACCATGGAACTCAATTGGGGAAACCTCATTTGCCCTGGCTTTTGGCACAGAAGTCATAGTGCCAATCGAGATCGGTCTACCGACAACTCAGACCGAAGCCCTCAACGCACCGTTTAACAACAAAAAGCTTTGCCTAAACCTCGACCTCCTTGAGAAGAGAAGGGAGACCTCGCAGCTTGAGCTTGCTGAATAGCAGAGGTGAGCAAAGCGACATTATGATGCAAGGGTAAAATTGTGCCGTTTCCGACCTGGAGACCTCATTCTACACAAAATTATACAAAAAGGTAGAGCCCTGGAGCCGACCTGAGAAGGCCCATTCCATGTGAAGTACGAAAAGCGAGCTGGGACATACGCCTTGACCGACCTGGAAGGGAAGCAATTACCCCACTCATGGAATGCGCAGCACTTACGGATATATTATCATTAAATACGGGCGAGCAAACTGCTTAGAAATATTGTACATATAGTGAAGAATTTCATTGTAACTCCCTTTTGTTGCGTCCACACAACTGTGTTGACAACACGTGAAAGTATACAAGATTCGTCGGTTGTAGCACGTAACGAGGGCGTATCCACAGAGATATTTTGTTGTATTTTAACGATAAAAGCATATACCAACAAATAAAAATGTACAGGGTTTGAGTATGTATATTATCTAGGAGAAATAAAGTAAAGTAATAACAAGACGACATAAACTTGCAAGGGACGATAGTATTGAAGCTGTCAACACAAGAAAGCAGTAGCGTAGAAAGCGATAATGGGGGAATAACAGATATGAAAAAGGCGAGGGAGATTCAGCATACTAGCACAAGTTATCAACATACCCTCTATCGTAGCTAACATTTATTAGTGCCCAGCTCGACTCGGTTCCCTTCCGAGACACCCCAAACATGAGTAAGTACAACTCCCGTTGCTAAATACCCAAGCAATAAAGCCAAGCTATAGGCATGATTAGGGGACCCCATTCCTGAGTATCCCTATAGCTATAGAAAAGCGCTAATCACAAGCAAAACAAATCAACACCTACAAGCCCTTCCGGGTCAATACAGAAGCTAGCATACACGAAACAGCAGCCAACAGTAACGTGAAGATTAAGAAATGAAATCAGATTTGCTTAAAAATAAATGTAGTAGCTAGAAGTTCGATCCCAAGTTAGTTACAGCATGTAAATCTCCTCTAAAATGGGGTTTAACTCATAATGGGTAAAGAAAACAAAATGGAAGAAGAAGAAATACATCTCATAGCAGAAAAATAGCTAAATAACATAGAAGAATAAGTAGTCACCTCATTCCAGCAGGCGAGCTTCCCCTTTCTGGCGTCAGCTCTCCTCCTGAAAATGGGTATATTTCGTTCCCTTGTCTTTTCATCTCTTAGTTTTTGTCTCTTTTGGGATCTGCGTGTCTGTCGGCTAGGGCAACATACCTTTTAAATATCGGGTCCCATTTTTAGGGCACCCGACTAGAGATTGTACGGAAATAAGTGAATCCCGTGTTTTTTAATTAACTGTACAGACACTCATGCTCTGGCATTGTAATGCTCCAGCATTTATATGCTCTAGTTCAACACTTCCTTCTCTTCTTAGTTCTTCTTTAAAAACTTGTGCAAATGAACCACAAATACGAGAGTTTATGCTATTTTTCTGCCAAAGTTCTCAAGGCTAAGGATATTTAGCTAAGAATTTGCAATTGAACAATATTCATGCTAATTATGACCTAAAACCAACATACTTTGACATTTTAATGCACATTTTCACGTAAATAATCACCAGAATAACTCTCTTTTGGAGAGTTATCACACCCCCAAACTTAAAATCTTGCTTGTCCCCAAGCAAGAGCATGCATTTCAGTTCATAAAATAAAAAAGGCATTGGAAAT